TGCTCACCCAAGAAGCTTCTTCCGCTCTTCTCTCTCCTTCAGAGCGGAAGGAAGCTTCTTGGGCGAGAAGCGAAACGTCTTCGAAGAAAAACTAGAAAATCCAGTTTTGCCTCTTAGGTTGGCTTCAAAATGTATGTGTTTTCATTTCTGTGGCTGCCCACGTTGGTAGCTGTTAAAATGGAACCCCAGTGAGCTAGGCCTGGAAGGGACCTCGGAGGTCATCTAGCCCAACCCCCTTCTCAAGGCAGCAGATTGACATGCTCAACCCTCTTTCCCTCCCACAGACCCTGAAAATATGACTGGGTCTCAACCTTTAATTTTGGCTCCAAAAGACGCATTGGGGCTTATTTTCCGGTTAGGGCTTATTTTCGGGGAAATTTGGCACTCAACACACCCATCTGGCAGACCTTCTTAACTGGGGCTTCATTTTGGGGGCGGGGCTTGTATTACAAGCCTCCTGAAAAAAACCATGTTAGGGTTTATTTTCGGATAGGGTCTTATTTTCAGGGAAACGCGTTATTTGAAAGCTGGGATATATCAGATCCATCAAAGCCCTAGGCTGGCTGGGGGATTCCAGGAGTTGTGAAGTCCACAAGTCTTAAAAGTTGCCAAGGTTGGACAACCTCTGATTTCAGGTGCAGAGCAAGGCATAAGGAATGGAGATATAGACCACCTTCACTTCTATCCAGGACCCAGTCTGGGTCTTGAGTCCTGGGGGGAGCCGCCCTTCGGCCAGGAAATCCCAAAGGACACATCTAGATAGCACCACCACTAGATGCATTCGCAACTGGCTGGCAAACTGTATTCAACGAGTAGTCCTTAATGGGTCTAAGTCTACATGGAGGGAAGTAAGCAGTGGGGTGCCACAAGGTTCCGTTTTATGCCCAGTACTCTTCAATATCTTCATTAACGACTTAGATGAGGGAGTAGAAGGGGAACTTACCAAATTTGCAGATGATACTAAGCTGGCAGGAATAGGTAACACCCAAGAAGATAGGCTCAAGATCCAGATTGATCTTGACAGACTAGAACACTGGGCCATATCTAACAAAATTAAATTCAATGTAGAGAAAAGGAAAGTCCTCCACTTAGGCAAGAAAAACCAGAGGTACACATACAGACTGGGGTGAAACCAGGCTCAATAGCAGTAACTGTGAGAGGGATCTTGGAGTCTTAGTGGACAACCAGCTAAATAGGAGCCAGCCGTGTGCAGCAGCAGCAGCCAAAAAAGCTAATGCAATCCTAAGCTGCATTAACAGAGGGATACAATCGAGATCAAGGGAGGGATTAATACCACTCTACAAAGCCTTAGTAAGGCCACACCTAGAGTAGTGCATCCAGTTTTGGTCACCACACTATAGAAAAGATGTTGAGGCTCTAGAAAAAGTGCAGAGAAGAGCAACCAGGAGGATGAGGGGACTGGAGGCTAAAACATACAATGGACGGTTGCAGGAACTGGGCCTGGCTGGTCTAGGGAAGAGAAGGACCAGGGGAGACAGGATAGCGGTCTTCCAATATTTGAGGGAGGGGCTGCCCCACAGAGGAGGAGGAGGGGGGAGGTCAAGCTATTTTCCAAAGCCCTAGGCTGGCTGGGGAATTCTGGGAGTTGAGGTCCCCGAGTCTTAAAAGTGGCCAAGGTTGGAGATCCTTAATGTAGGGTCTTCTCTTCTGCCATGGGCAGGGGGGGTTGGACTAGAAGACCTCCAAGGTCCCATCCAACCGTATGATTCCATGTTTTAAACCCAAGCTTTCTCCATTTGCTCGTTGGCCACAAATTTCAATCCCCTAACCGCAGCTGCGACCCTGTTAAATGCTGCTTTACCCAACGCCCACATTTTGACTCTGGGGATGCTACGGCGGTTAAGAAGTGCGAAGGCCAGTCACTTTTTGTCCGTTGCTGATGGCCGCCAAATAAAACGGGCGTAAGTTGAGGACTACCCGCAATCTCTTTTTAGGATATTTTTAAAAAGGAAAGGGAAAAAAAAAACCCAAGCCAGATTAAAATGAAATTAAGCTAGCTAAATTGGCGAGGGAACACTGTTCAGAGGTGTAGAGTTTCCTGTCTTAGGCAGGGGGTTGGACTAGAAGACCTCCAAGGTCCCTTCCACCTCTGTTATTCTATTCTATGTTGCCTCAGAATTTATGTATGTGTTTAATTTCTGTGGCTGCCCATGTTAGTGGCTGTTAAAATTGAACCACAGTGAGCTAGGCCTGGAAGGGACCGCCGAGGTCATCTAGCCCAACCCCCTTCTCAAGCCAGCAGTTTAACATGCTCCACCCTCTTTCCCTCCCTCAGACCCATTTACTGACCCCTGCCCTGGATTCCTTGCCTTGCCTGGATCCCAAAATACAGGTGTTCCTCGACTTACGACCCCACTGGAGCCCAACATTTCTGTCACTATGTGAAACATGTTGAGTGCGTTTTGCTCTGTTTCATGACCTTTCGTCCCCCGGTTAAACGAACCACTGCAGTTCTTAACATTGAATCCGGCTTCCCCTATCGACTTTGCTCAGACAGTCGCAAAAGGGGATTTGTGACCCCCCCCCCCCCCCGGGATAAAGCGGCCGTCACGAAAATGAGTCAGTCGCCAAGTGCCTGAATTTTGCAGTGGGGATTCTGCAATGCTCGTAGGTACGAAAAATGGGCATAAATCACATTTTTTCAGGGCCAAACTGGAAAAAAAAACCTGAATAAACTGTTGTAAGTAAAGGACAACCTGTATCTCCTTTTTGCTGTGTTTGCAAAATAATTGGGGAGGGGGAACAAAAGTGGAGGGTGGGACGGGAAAGGGGGCCACTATTGAGATGGTGGGAAGAGGCCTTGCTTAAATTAAACTAAATTAAATTAAAAGAACAGCCGGCAGGGGCTACAGAGGAAGAGAGGCATATAGAGGCATCAGATTTATAGAATTTGATACTGATATTTGGGGGGTCTACTTCAGTATTTCTCAGCTGTGGCCACTTGGAGGTGGGTGGACTTCAACTCCCAGAATTCCCCAGCCAACAGGAAATTGGGAAAGCCAGCCGGCTGGAGCATTGTGGGAGTTGAAGTCCATCCATCTTCAAGCGGCCAAACAAACATTTATATGAAGCCCCAGACCTGGGGGGCAGTATAGAATGACCCCTCAGTTCAGATAGACCAATATTGGTCAACCTTTGAGACGTTTAAGATAGGAGGACTTCAACTCCCAGAATCCCCCAGCCAGCTATGCTGGCTGGGGAATTCTGGGAGTTGAAGTCCTCCTATCTTAAACGCCTCAAAGGTTGACCAATACAGGTAGGCCTCGACTTACGACACAATTGAACCCAAAATTTCCACTGCTAAGCGTGGGACAGTTGCGAAGTTAATTCCGCCCCATTTTGCGACCTTTCTTGCCACCGTTAAGCGAACTGCCGCAGTTGCTTAGATTCGTCCCATGCCCATTAAGTGAATCCATTGACTTCGCTTTCTCAGAAGGTCGCCAAAGGGAGAATCACGTCTTACACACACACACGCACTCATGCATGCACGCACACACGCACGACACCGCCACTGTCGTAAATAAGAGCCAGCTGCCAATTTTGATGACGGGGAATGCTGCAACGGCCATTAAGTGTGAAACGGCGCTCTTTTTTCGGCGCCGTTTGTAACTTCGAGCGGTCTGTTGTTGAGGGCTGCCCGAACTGGTCTAGTGAATTGGAAGCACCCCCTTTTGTGCCTGGGACGGGGGGGGGGGACCTGCTGGGACCCTCTTTAAAATGGACCCCACTTGAACATAGCACCATACAAGCCCCTAAGGAGGTTCCGCCCGAATCCATTCACCATGTTCATGTCTCCATTGGAGGTCAGCCTTCTCTCTTCTCCTGATCTGTCCACCCCCCCCCCTCCCAACTGGGGGGATCTTAAAAAGGTGTGGGGCAGGGGGGGCTCCCAACAATTTAGCGGACGGTTCTCTGCTCGGTTGCTTTGTGGGCCTGGCCTTAGTGTCAGCTTTGGAAGTCACGTTCCACGCTGTCACATAGCCTGAAAAAGTGGGAGCGGGGTGATGTCCGTTGAGCCGCTTTTTAAGTTCAAGGGTCTTCAAATTTGGCGAGTTTTTAAGACGTGTTGGACTTCAACCCCCAGAACGCCTGAGCTAACGTGACTGGAGGAGGAGGAATTCTGGGAGTTGAAGTCCACCAGTCTTTCAAGCGGTCGAGTTGGAAGACCCCCTGCTCTTAAGGAGACCAAATAAAACTCTTTGGTTGGTCCCCAAGGTCATTGAGTGTGGCGCAGGATGAAATAAGGATCTGGGCCCGGCGATGGGATGACGGCCAAGAAGGGGATGGATTGGAAGGTTGGGAGATTGTGGGAAGCCCGGAAAAAAAAACTTTTTTAGATTCGGGATCCCACAGATGTGCCAGGTGCTCTTCTAATAAAGGTACTTTTGGGGATAGGTCTGTCTCGGAGTTCCCGATTGGAGTGGAGGGTTGCTGGAGCGCTGACCCCGAGTGGGCGTGGCCTAGTTGGCCTCCTGCACCGTGCCGCGGGGGGCATTTTCACCCTCCCTGCAGTGGTGGGATTCAAAATTATTTTACTCCCGGTTCTGTGGGCGTGGCAGGGGAAGGAGACTGTCAAATCGCCAGTCAGAGGTGGGATTTGTCGGTTCTCCAAACTACCCAATATCTCCACTACCGGTTCTCCAAAACTGGTCAGAACCGGCTGAATACCCCCTCTGCTCCCCAGACTCCGGAGGCTCTTTGGAGGCCGGAAACAGGCCCATTTTCCACCCTCCCCGAACCTCCACGCGGGCTCTGCACTTACCCGGCATTGAAAACAGGCCGCGTGGAGACTCCTGGGAGGGTTGGGGTGGGAGGGGCCAGCCGGTCGTTTGCAACTACTGGCTCGGCAAACCAGGTGTCAAACTAACAACCGGTTCGCCCAAACCGGTGTGAACCGGTAGCAAGCAGCCCCATCCCCTGGGGTGGAGGGAGTGGCCGAGGGGGGTTGCTTCTCCTCTGGCCAATCTTTGGGAACCCAGCCGGGCCAACCCAGGATTCCTAAAAGCCAAACAAGTGTCCACCTGTCCACCTCTGGCTGACCAGCTGACCGGTCTTCTCATCCTGTTTCCCTCCGGCCCGCAGGTGAAAATAATGACGGAGAAGGAGCTCCTGGCCGTTGCCTGCGAGCAGTTCTTGGGCAAGAATGTCCAAGACATCAAGAACGTGGTTCTGCAGACGCTGGAGGGACATCTTCGGTCCATCCTGGGTGCGTATATTGGCGGGGGGGGGGGGGTATGGCTTACGACAGCCGTAAATCGGCGCCTTGCAGGAGCACTCTACCTGAACCACAAACAGCCTCCTGGCTTTGAGGCTAGTCTACCTTGTGAGGCCATCCCAGGCCAGGTGACTTAGGGTGGTGCATCTCTCTGGAGATACTCAACCATCCAGGTCGTGGTTGCCCCAAAGGCGATTGGACTTTTTTCTTTTCTCCCTTTGGAAACATTTTGCTTCTCATCCAAGAAGAATAGGTAGGACCTGGCTCAACAGCAGTCACTATGAGGTGGACCTTGGGGGGTCCTAGTGGACCACCACTTAAATAGGAGCCAGCCGTGTGCAGCGGCAGCCCCAAAAGCCAACACAGTTCTGTCTGCATAAACAGATAGAATCAAGATCAGGTGAAGTGTGGATACCACTTGAATAAGGCCTTGGTGAGGCCCCGCTTGGAATAATGGATCCGGTTTTGGTTGCCACGATAGAAAAAAGATGCGGGGACTCTGGAAAGGGTGCAGAGAAGAGCAATAAAGAGAATTAGGGGGCTAAACCGTACAAAGAACGTTTGCTGGAATTGGGGGTGTCTAGTTTGATGAAAAGAAGGACGGGGGGGGGGGGGTGGGGGCACCGGATTGCAGCATTCCGGTGTGCGAGGGGCAGCCCAAAAGAGGGGGGGGGGGGGGGGACAAGCTATTCTCCAAAGCACCAAAGAAGGCAGGACGAGAAGCAAGGAGAGAGATTCAACCTGGAATTAAGGAGGAATTCCCTAACAGGGAGGACAATTAACCACTGGAACTACTTGCCACCAGAAGTTGTGGGGGCTCCATCCCTGGAGGCTTTCCAGGAGAGATTGGACTGCCAGTTGTCTGAAAGGGTAGAGGGTCTTCTGTTTGAGCAGAGGGTTGGACTAGAAGACCTCCAAGGTCCCTTCCGACTCCGATCATTCTGCTGGTCCGAAGGTTGCCAAAGGGGAATCCGTTGCCCCAGATTCTGCCACCGTCGTAAATACGGGCCAGTTCCCAAGTGCCCAAATTCTGATCAGGTGACTCTGATGGTCGTGTGGGAAAACTGGTCACGTTGCCTTTTGTAACTTCAAACGGTCACTAAGTGAACGGTTGTAAGTGGAAGGCTACCTGTAACCTCCTGCAAGCCCCAGGCAATGGGGTCTCTTTGGAGAGTTGCTCCCCTCCGTCCCTCTTGGCTGTCGGTGTGTGTGTGTGTGTTTGTTAACACGTGTGTTGTGTGTTTTTCCTTCCCGGCCTTGCAGGCACTCTGACCGTGGAGCAGATCTATCAGGACCGAGACCAGTTTGCCAAGCTGGTGCGGGAGGTGGCAGCGCCAGACGTGGGCCGGATGGGCATCGAGATCCTCAGCTTCACCATCAAGGTACGAGGGGGTGGGGCAGAGGCTCGGGCGGGACCCAGTGGGGAGCCTACGTGAGAGAAAGAGGGGGAAGACAGCTCCTCCCAAGTAGTTCCGTGAGGATCGAG